AAATTTACAAATGAAATTGTACGGGGAAGAGGGGTGAGAAGTAGGGCTGCAACAACTAATCGACATAATCGATTATTGAAAAAGTTGTCAACTTTTTCAATCATCGATTAATTGGCTTCTAGTTAGTTGGCCCTATTCAGGCGCTGCACCTCCTCCCCACCCCACGCTCGTTGCTGCCATAGCCGCCCGCATCCACGCTCCACACGCCGTCTATATCATTTTACACTATATTGCACACCACACTTTTTTTTTTCTTATTTACCTCCACCGCTCCAAGCTTGCTCCTGTGATGGACTACAATCTCAATACAAACTAGTAATCCCATTACTGGAGCCATTTAAAATGTATTTTATTTTTTATCCGATTAATCGAACTCAATAAATCGGCTAACTAATCGATTTTGAAAATAATCGTTAGCTGCAGCTCTAGTGAGAAGGTTCTATGATTCAGGAACATTGAGCCATCTCTTATTTCCCTTGTTTGCTGGTGAGAAGAGCTAAAAGAGGTTATTCTGGTGAGAAGAGCTAAAAGAGGTTATGGCGTTATTCTAGGAGAACTATGGGAAAAAACACTGACCCCATAGTTCTCCTTTAATATTTAGAATTTTATCCTTTGGGCTATTGGAAGCCAATGCAGGTATTAGCAGAGGGGGTTGCAGACACTGAGCGGTTGGTTAGGTGAATGAGTCTGGCAGCTGCATTCATGATAGACTGAAGGGGGGGATATCCTGTGTAGTGGAAGGCCAATGAGGAGGGAGTTGCAATAGTCAAGACGAGAGATAAGGGAGTGGATGAGTAATGTTGCGGTTTGATTGGTCAGGAAGGGGCGTATTTTGGAGATGTTACGAAGGTGAAGGCGGCAGGATTTGGATAGTGTTTGGATGTGGGGAAGAAAGGTGAGGTCTGAGTAAAGGATGGCACATAGGACCTTGGCATGGGGGGAGGCTTGGATAGTTGTGCCAACAATCTCAAGGGAAAATTTGGGGGAAGGTACATGGACGGGAGGAAATATCATGAGCTCGGTTTTTGAAAGGTTGAGTTTTAAGAAGTGTTGTGACATACAGACTGATATGTCAGTTAGTAGATTAGTGACACGCAGAGACACTGAGGGGCAGAGTTGTGGAGAAGATAAGATTTGAGTGTCATCGACATAGAGATGGTATTAGGAAGCCATGTGGAGGTTATTACCTGACCAAGGGAGGTGTAGATAGAGAAGAGAAGGGTTCTAAGGACATAGCCTCGGGGGACCACTACAGAAAGAGCAAGAGTTAAATTTGTAGGTGACACTAAAGGATCGCTTAGAGAGGTAGGAGGAGAACCATGAGAGCAGAGTCTTGTAGGCCAAGCGAGTGGAGTTTTTTTTGAGGAAGAGCATGTGGTCTGATAGTAAGAGCAAGGAGTAGTGGCCATTGGTTTTAGCTGTTAGTAAGTCATTAGTGAGTTTTAAGAGTGCGGTTTCAGTGGTGTGTAGGGGGGCAAAAGCCAGACTGTAAGGGATCAAAAAGGTTATCAGCGAGGTAGTGACTCAGGCGGCTGTAGATAATGCGTTCTAGGAGTTTGGAGGTGAATTTGAGTGAGGAGATTGGTCTGAGATTGTGGAGGTCCATTGATGTTTTTTTGGGAATTGGGGTGACCATGGCATGCTTTAGAGGGGAGGGAAAGATGCCAGTAGAGTGAGAGATTGAGTGTAGGATAGAGTAAGAGGGTGACTGAAGTAGTGGTGAGGGAACAGGGTCCAGGGGGCAAGGTGGGTGTCCGAGAGAAGCTTTGTACCCTCCTTTGTGGTGACAGGGTCAAAAGAGGAGTAACAAGTGTGATGGTGGGCCTGGTACATGAATAGGGGAAGGTGACCTCACAGTGGTGATCTGATCCCGCATTGTATCCATTTTGTTTTTGAAATGAATGGCAATGTCCTGGGCAGTGAGTGAGTTAGTGGGTGGTGGCGGTGGAGGACATAGAGAGTTAGAAGTAGGAGAGTTACATAGTTACATAGTATTTGAGGTTGAAGACATTAGTCCATCAAGTCCAACCTTTGACAAGGTCCGGAAGAGTGTTAGTGACAAAATAAGTCTGTTTGGCAGCACGGAGGAAGGAATTATATTTTAGGAGCGCAGCTTTATACAAGGTGGTCTTGCAGAAGCCTAGTTTTCCGTCACAGTCGTTCAAGAGCACAGCTATGTCTTTTTAGATGTCTGCTTTCCTTTTGTTTGCCACGGTTGTAGTCTAAGTCTGCGTGTAGTGAGGGGAGCCAAAGTGTCTAGAGAGGATGAGAGCGAACTGTTGTAGACAGAAATAGCCAGGTCAGGGCAAGACAGGGGTGAGATTTTGTCATAGAGGTAGTCAGGAGTAGAGAATAGAAGGGTCGAGGTGGCGAAAGTTTCTCCGGGTGACAGTGTGCCGTGTAGGTGGATTCAGGGTTGGGGACAGGGTGAGGGTGAAACTGACATGGTTGTGGTCCGAGAGCGGGAAAGGAGTGTTAGAGACGTTGCAAGGAGTGCATAGGGGAGAGAAAACAAGATCTAGTATGTTACCATCAGAGGGAGTAGGAATGTCTGACCATTGTGTTAGATCAAAAGAGGTTAGGTTAAAAAATTGAGTGGAAGCAGGGGTGTTTATGTTATTTACAAAAGAACGCCATCAATCAGCCGTGCCTAGAGTGGCATGGTGTCTAAATACGGCCCTGATAAGGGACGATGGGAGTAAAGTACATTCACCTACAATAAAACAGAATTAAATGGCACAGCACATATAGCGTAAAAACATTAACCATTACAGATAACAGCCAGATTAGATAGATTTTTTTTTTTTTAAAACAGCATTTGTAGACAGCCTCAGAAGCCGTAGCTACCTGAATACCCGAACAGTGACTGCATCTGATAGGATGCAGTCACTATTGAGCTGCCAACTTCCCACCTGGCCCAGTCAAATTCCTAAGTCGAATTGGGTGGTGCTGACAGTCACCAACGGTACACATTTAAGCAGGATTCGACCAAAATGTAATCAACGTATGTCTAGATTTACTCTCAGGAATGGACAGACAGAAATACAAGCCAAACAGCCCCCCCTGCAATGGTTGGGAAACACAGACAGCCTCTATATAGGAATGAATGGAATTCGCTCCATGTATGTACAAAGCAGGCTGGAGTCTGCAGCAGCTGTACCATACAGTGCGGATCTGGTAGGAGCAAAGAAGGGGGAATACGAGGCTCATGCACATGGGGTAATAAAACACTGATGTCTATGCCCATATAACATACAATACTGCTGCATTGAGATCTGTAAAAAACTACACACTGTCGGGATCTGAACATCGTGTTTCTTTTTCACATATGCGTGAATGAGCCCTTAGGCCACATGCACAAGGCCGTAATGAAGTTACTGATCATTTACGTCAGGAAGAGCCTGCGTAAAGAAAACGCATGAAATGGTCAGTAAAGTGCTTGCATCCATATGTATGACTTCCATTCCAATAACATTATACACACACGTACGTGCATTTATTGGCATACATGTGGAAATGTACTGACTTCTGGACAGATTATTTCTATTTTATAGATCTTTACACAGCTGAGTGCATCCATAAATAAATAAAAGAAAAAACAACAACTAAACACTGTATTGACAAACACTTTTACGCCAGCGTGTACAAGCCGTAATGCCCCACACACCTAGGCGACAGTTTTTGCGCATATTAGCATCTAGGGTGTTAAGCGCATTTTATACATTTTTGCATGCATTAGGCACAAGCATATGAAGACTTGTTCCAGCTGGCAGATTGAGAAACATGTCAGTGTACAAAACACACAAAAACATGCAAACCGCTTGTGTTGTGCATTTCCATGGAAGTCAATGGTGAAAAACAACCCACAAATTGCCTAAAGTGGCTAATGTATTTTTTTTCTGCATTCAGCATTTTGCTGCTGGAGTACAAACGCTCCGGTGTGACTGGAGACCATAGAAAAACATGGAATTTCTTGTGTTGTAGCTCGTTTGTAACAGCAATAGGTGTAAGCGGGGAACTAAGGCCCCTTTCACACTAGTGCATACCATGAACATGCTTCAACATATATTCACCATACATGCACAAATGCAGAACACCCTTAAAGGAGAACTATGACATGAGTGATTTCCACTCACGTCATAGTTCTAAGCCGACCTGTGACAATGAGACTGTCACGTCATAGTTCTAAGCCGACCTGTGACAATGAGACTGTCACAGGTCAGCTCAGTAGATCAGGAGGTGAGGGAAAACATACCGGGTTCCCTCATCTCTCGATCCTGTCACGGCTCTCTGCCGTGACAGGGGAGGGGCTGGATTCCCCTCTCCCCGCTCCGATCTGCCAGCGCTGACTGGCGGAACGAACGGGGGAGGGGACGGGTACAGCTGGCTCTGCCTCTAGATAGGCAGAGCCAGCTGTCACTCACGTAGCTGGGCGGATCCCGTCATCTAAGTCGGGATCCGCTCCAGGTGCGGCGTCTCAGTATACAGCGAGCTGTAGCTCGGGATATACTGAGTTTAGGGTGACGGGAGGACACTAGTTTGTGTCCTCCCGTTACCCCAAGGAGGAGAACTATGGGGCAAAACACTGACCCCATAGTTCTTTTTAAGTTGTCATTAAACCAGCCAAGCAAGCTTTCCAACGCATTCACACATGAACGTTTGGAAGAAAAACAGGGAAAGCATGTTAAATTTGCAACATGTACTACATTTGGCATGCATCCAGGGACCCGATGGAGAATCGCAGCAAACATGCAGTAACCACAATGCGCGTTCCCGGTACACCCTGGTGTGAATGGGGCCTAACACAGTAAAGTGATAGAACATAGAAGCCACTTTTGTCTGTGACCATACATGGCGGCCTACAGTACAACTACAAGTCCCAATGTGTCCTGTAAACCGTCAGCCCGCAGGGCATACTGGGAATTGTAGCTCTGCTCACGGTGTCGACTGGGCCAAGCTAATAGCAGCCAGCCACGTCTTGAACTGTACAGAAGCCTTACCCTCAGCTCCAGGTCGGTGCGGTGGACCCCGAGCCTCTTCAGCCCCACAGCCAGGTCATTGAAACAGATGGCGCCGTCCTTGTTGACATCCAGCTCCTGGAATAGGATCTGCAAGCGGCGGTCGTTCTCAGGCCCTCCACACAGGAGTCCCCCGCACGGGTCCGCGGCCAGGACAGCAGCCAGAGACGATGAGGGAGAGGAGTGGGCCTCGTGCGTGTGCGTGGCTCCCCCCAAAGTGTCACACTGACAGAACACCCCGCTCAGCAGCGGTGACACCAACGAACGAGGACGGGCCATAGACGGGTCAACGGAATCCACAGATGTGCGCAGGGAGCCGAGAACAGGGTTAGCAGGCTTACTCGTCACACGCCGGTATATGGCGGCAGGAAACGCATCACCTCACACCTCCCTGACGTAGCTTCACACCCACTTCCACATCATTCTACAAAGCTCGCCCAGCCGAACGTGACGCCACGTCAGAGCACAACGCCATTGGCTGTTCCAGTTTCTAGTACCCAATCGCCGCACGAGCATTGGGAGGGAACCTTAAAGCAGTCGGTTTTAAATTAGAATTGAAATCATATCGCAAAGTTTAAATTACTGCGCAGTTTTTCCTTAGACACGATGAGGCTGACTTAGATGCTAATATGTTTCTCAAATATACAGCAAGCTTTGCGTTTAACCCAATCCGTTACGCTGGCCAATGGTGGCGCTGCAGTAATAATTGACAGGGATGTTGAGCAATCGGACACAAAGTACGGCACTGAGCCGGAAGAAAGAGGCGGTGCTGATATCGGAACTCAGGTTAGCCAATCGCTTAGATGGGTGTAGCCGTCCTCCCTCCGCAAGATTGCGTAGAGACGCGATAAAGAGGCAGATTCTGGAAGCCGTTACGCTGCGTAGGTTCCGTGCCTCCCCAACTACGCAATTTACGTATTGCGGCCTATTCCCGATCGTTGGAGCGGCAATGGCTACGCCAGCCAAGAAAAGAAAGACCAATTTCTCGGAGCAAGAAGTGGAGATTATAATGGAGGAAATGGAGAAGCAGAAGCACATCTTGATTAACCATTATAATGCAGGGGTGCCTCTGATGACCAAAAGCAATGCCTGGTACGATATCTTGAAGCGGGTGAATGCCATTAGTACGTGCCACCGTGAGTTGGCGGAGGTGAAGAAAAAGTGGTCTGACCTGAAGACTGAGGTGCGCAGGAAGATGTCCCAGGCACGCGCCGCAGTGGAAGGCGAGGGGGACGTGGGCACACCACCGGTCATGCTCACGCCTCTGCAGCAGCGGATATGCAACTTGTTGGGGGAAAGCGCCATCCTCAGCCTGCCCGCCACGGAGTGCCCCAATGAAATACCCACCCAGGTCTCCATCGGTTCACCTGGCACCGTAACGCTGTCACAAAGTGAGTGCGCCAAGCTTATTAATACTTCTCCTGCCTTCTTCAAACTCTTCACCCTTTTGTGAATAACCCATAGTCTAAGACCAACTCTGGAGCAAAGGATTAGAGTTAAGAGGCCCTCAAAGTTGCTGCCCTCTCAACTGCCTGAGCTTATGCTGAAAGCAAGTGTCTTCTGCCAGGTCCTGAATGTGCATAACAGTATTTTAGGTAAAGCAATTTTATTGCCTCCTGAACAAAATTGAAAGCAAGGCCTCTCTATGAAACAAGATTTGTAATACATATCTGTCACACCGCCCTTACCTACCTTTGCTCTCTGCCACCAAATTGTTTTGCATCCAACTAGGGATGCACCCATACCGATACTAGTATCTGAATCATTGCCAATACCAAGTATTTGGGCAAGTACTCGTACACGCCCAAATGCTCCAATACTGACCCCCGATACCAGAACTTCCGGTCAGAGGGAGATTTCCTCTGACCAGCAGTGCTGCGAGAGAACATGGAGCCACTTTCCTGGCTAATCAGAAAGCCAGGCGGCGGGTAATGACTCACTGCCCGGCTTCCTGATTGGCTGGGAAGCCAGCTCAATGCTGTTTGGCCGGCTCAATGCTGATTGGCTGGGAAGCGGGCTTCCGGCCAATCAGCTTCAAACCAGCCAAATAGCCATGTCCATGGTAGCGGAAGTACCAGTATCGGTACTCTGTATCGGCAAGTAACAAAAAATATTGGTGCATCCCTACATCCAACACACTTCTAGGAGTGTTGGGTGTCTGATCGCTACAGTGACATAGGAATCGCTGGATGCAAATGCGGCACACAGCAGAGGACCAGGCATTCCACACACCCAGATGTATATCAGATGCAGAAGATGCTTCAGTAACTCTTTAGGAGACTGAAGCTCGGCAATGCAAGCAGCAGGATAGGCAAGTATTACAAGTCTTCTTTTACAGGAAGAATTTTCTAGGTGTTGACCTGAACTATGGGATTCATAATTTTATGCACACCCAGTAGCTGGGAGACAGCATGTTTTCAGACCATAAACAAGGCAGCATCTGGCAGTAAGTGGACAAATCTAATTGTTTCATAAATTGTAAGAATTTGAGAAATAATTATTTGAAATATTTTTGGGACATTTGCAATCTAAACAATACAAAGTAGCAGTGATTTACCTTTTCAAAGATTTACTTTTTTTTAAAACATCCCACCCAAAGTTCGTATTTAAGGTTTAAGTAGAGGACAACAGATTTATTTGCGTACCAGATTCTTATGTCTGTAGGACCTGGGTAGAGAGATTTCTATACTCAAAGAAATCAGCCGGTGACTGAGCTCACCTTCATCCACCCTTGAAATATCTTCTCTTTTGTTGTTGATGCTTTAGACGTTTGGTGGCAGTCAGAAGCTTAGTAATGATCAGGCATTAAAAGATCCATCTCCTGCAGTTTACTAATAACCACCTCCTCTTTTTTTTGGGGGGGGGGGGACCATAGGCTATAAGCCTAAAGTCCCATCTAGCTATGGCCAATATATTAGATATCAGTACAAGAAAAAATGATAACATTTTAGAGCATATAAATATAAACATTCCATTCCAAAGCATTACATTATTTCCATATTTTTTTCTTAAAATGCAGCCTTTAAAAATATGAAACACATTACGTGCCTTTTAAAGCCATTGCTTTAATAAAATATGTAATGGCTATGCACAGTGATGTACATCCTTTGTAGAACACAGATTAGTGACCAGTGTGATATACCATCACATAAAAATCTTATAAAAAAATAAATACCACACACCAACTAAAGGTTCTTGAAACAAGGTCCTCTTTAAAGAATCTTCGGGTTATAAACAATAAAATGGCTTTACATTATATCCCATCCACCTCAGCATGGAAATTATGGGGGCAAGTTATAAATGGTTTGAACAGCTTCCCACTCTTGGTGTGAATCCCACCCACCAAACCCATCCAGCTGGGTTTAGAGAGTAATGACATGGAAAGACCTATGTAGAGGGGAGCACAACAGGCACCTGTAGAAAAGGATTGATGATTAAAGCAGGTGGAGAAGGGCAGAAGACACATATGAAAAGGGGAAAGGTAGCAGATGTCTATGTAAAGAGGTGAGATGATCATCTTGTGCATATGATAAGGAAAGAGCTGAAGGCATCTATGGAGAAGTGAGGGGTACTGCACGTGCCTGTAGATAGGCAGGTCAGCAAACATCTTTTGGCTGGGCAGCAAAATCACTGCAGGCACTTATGGAGAGGGCAGAGGGAGGGCTGCAGGTATCTATGGATAAAGGAGAAGTGCAGCAGGCACCATTGGAGAAAAGGGAGCGAAACAGGCGCCTATGGAGAGGGCCTAGGGAACTCTGCAGGCACCTATGGAGAGGGCAAAGGGAAAGCTGCAGATGCCTATGGAAAGGGGAGCACTGCAGGCATGTATCTCATGGTGTAAAAATAGCTACAGTATTGGTCTTAAAAAATCACCATGGCTTAGTGGCTGTTTAAGTGAGTGGGCTTAGGCAGGAGGCATTGAAGGGAACCTACAAACAGAGTAAGGTTCCCCGTTTGATATTAGGTGGATGGATCAAGTAAACATTTTCTTTTGTCTGTAAATACCTTTTACCTATAGAAATTCCAGATGTTGGCCAGTCCTGCAAGACATTTAGACCTACGGTATATCTTTATTTTTTAACCTTAGTAGACAAATAAAATCTATTTCTTTTTCAGTTCCTTCAGAGACCACCTACCATACTTTGGAGGAAAATGTGGTGGAGTATTGCACAACAGAAGCCCCCACAACTGTTACTTCAGAGACCCCTGTAGAAATGATCTCTCCTTCGGCTGAAGTTACTGGAAAACCTCAGGAACTGAAGAACAGGATTGCTCTAAATTCAGCACGGCTGCTCCAGGAGCAGAGAGTGACTAACTTGCATGTGAAGGAGATTGCCCAACACCTGGAGCAACAGAATGATATCTTGCAGATGATACGCCGGTCACAGGAAGTTCAAGCTAGTGCTCAGGAGCGCCAAGCCCAGGCCATGGAAGGGACTCAGGCGGCCCTAAATGCTCTTATTCAGGTATTGCGGCCTATGATAAAAGATGCGCGCAAGTTCCTACAAAGTCGAAACGCAGAGTCTCCAGGCGTCAATGAAGCTGGTGACCAAGGGATTCAAAATGGACAGTCAAACAGTATCAGTCGGTGACTGGTAATTGCATTCTAAAACCAAGATGTTATCTTAGTGTATAAAAAGCTACCTTGTTGCCACTAAAAGAAGATAAAAGTAAATGTACCCCATTAAATCTTTATACTTGTCTGTTTGGCGGGTTGTGAGTTAGTTTTTGTATGGGCCAAACTTTTTTTTTTTTTTTCATTTTGAATATAATAGGGAATAATTATAACCCCTGTGAAGTTTTATTGCTGTCAGGGTTCCTGATAGAATCACCCTCTCTATTTGTCCTGGTGACCATTTTTACAATGACCGAACATAGGAAATCCAATGTTTTAGAGCTGTCTCCTGAAGAACAGGTGTTCCAATAGGGACACCTGATCTGGGGACAACTGTCTAGGAGAGAAATCACTTTCATGTTGTAGAGATTTCCTATCTCTTCCTGTTGAGTCTAGGAGACAGGAAGTAAAGGAAGATTTCTCCAACAGGACATAGACATAAAAAATAAAGTGAAGGGATTTTATCCATTTCCTACTTCCCAAAAAAAGGCACCAGTCAGTCACATGGGAGCAGGTAAAGAGTTAGTTGCGTTGTATAGCACATCTTTTACTTAGAGCTGTAGGTTCTCCCACAGACCCCCTCCATCACTTTTGTTTCCATAGTAGAGAGCAGTAGGAACCACAGAACCAAGCAGAGGACAAACTATCTGACACACTCGGAAGTGTCGGATAGTAACACCACACAGAGCTCTTCAAGACAGTATTCACCACCTGCTAGAAAGATAAATACAGTAAACTCCCCATTATCCAGCATCCACGGGGATTGGTAGATTCCGGATAAATGTAGTTTCTGGTTGCTTGAGACTTACTATTACAAATAGGTCTAACT